TCCTGATGTTGCTATCGCTTGGGATTGCTACATCTATCACTACGGCCTTCTTCTTCTGTTTGTCCACCACTACTATGTCCGGTTGGTTGGCCATTACCAGTTTGTCAGTTTGTATCTTGAAGTCCCACAGGATCTTAGCTTGGTCATTCTCAACCACCTTTGGAGGTGTATCCCATTTTGACTTTGGGGCTTCTAGCCTGTACTCAGCACAGATGTTTCTGTACACTATGCCAGCCACTTGGTTATGGCGTTCCATGTATGCCCTGCCTGCTAGCATCTTGCACCCCGCTGTTATGTGCTGGATTGTCTCAGGGGCATTTGTTCAATGCAGTTTGTTCAATTTCCTATTTTTGTTGTCATTTGTCCCCAAAACAATTTTTTTATGGTGCATTTCTGTACTTTTAATGGTGGTGTCCCAGCAGCACTCCATTGAATATTTTAATTTGCTTTCCTGAATGCAGACTCCTGCTACAACATTTCAATGAGCCAAGCCTTGTTTATTGAATTTCAGATTGAATATTATCACTTAATGGCAAACATTACCATTACTGGACTAGTACACAATGTATTTTTCAAAGCAGTCTGAGGTAAAGTTGGGACACGGCTTGCTCTTTAGCACTTGCACCACTGGCGCTTTTTTGTTACTTAACTGCAGTTAATACAGCCACTGTTAAATTCTGAAGGGACACTTAATTAAGTTCTTTTTTTTAACAGTACAGACTAATGAGTTTGACTGAATTAATGAGGAGTGACATCAGATGAGTGTCAGACAGTATAAGTCTGTAATGGACTTGCATAGTAAAGATTACCGGTTCAATTTAAGGACATTCACAAACATAGATATATACACACACACATGTTTGTCTGGATATCTTTGCCATCATTTTTTATAACATCTGAAGCAAGATAAAACTGTGCACTGTATGATCTGCCATTTTTCTGCTAGCTTCTCTTGTTGTCAACTGTAGCACTAACAGCACAGGAAGCTAGTCGAGATCAGGTGCATGCACTTTAGAAAATGTAAAACATGAAGGTTGTTCTCAGGCTTCAGAGCTTTACTGAAAACATTTTATTAGAAACATGTCACACAGAGTGGCGCTGTGGCTCACAGGTGACAGGGACCTTGACCTTAACACTAACTCTTGAGCACTTTGGTCCAGACTTAACACTGAAGTACTATGAGTTGGTTTGAGTGTGAAAAAGAGTCAGCTGTACCTAAATATAATAGTAATCAACTATAAAAATGTTTTATTTCCCACAGCATTGCCATATGTTGGTCCATCAGTGAAAGTGACTGCATTTTACCAAATGACCAGAAGATTGATCCTTAATTTTTTTTATATCAAGACCTTTGTGGCTTGTGTGTAAGACAATAAAATCCTATTTGTTCATTCAAAATAGTACCTTCACCTGTCGTTCTTTTTTCCCATTTTTAATTAAAAAATTTAAAATTCTTCCCCAGTTTCCAACAGAAGCCTTATCAGGAACTCATTCTGTTTCCATTTTGTGAAAGTCGTCTCAGTTGTCATGATAAGGTATCAGATAAAAAACTTAGAAATCTTAGTAGAAGTCAGCATTCAAGGGTAAGTGTTAAAGGGATAAATAATTCACCCTGTCCCTTTCTCACAACCCATGGGTTTTCAATCATATGCTTGTTTGCCCATTAGGCCTCAAAGCGGGGAAAAATGATTTGATCTTCTCATGGGAGCAACAAGCCATGAACATAAAGTTTTAATTGAGTTCTTGTGTCTCCCCCCTCTGTCTATTTTCTCATTACAATAAATGACTGACCCCATCTCACAGACTGGTGAAACAGCTGTGATCTCTTTATTATGCCAGTGTGATAGATGAACGTGTTCATTCCTACTATCACTTCGTCTCCTCATTCACAACTCTGTTTGCTTCATTAGTTTTTTTTTCTTTTTGACATTTCACCTTTAAAGAAAAAGATTTCAGCTCATTACCAAACTTCTGTAATTAGATTGCTAATTCTTTACATTTCTTACTCTTAGTTTAGCCAGTTGTCGTCTTCGCTCACATTCCCTTATCAGTAAAGCAGCACAGTAGAGGTTCATTGCAGTACTGTCTCTAAAATAAGGTCGGGGTTTGAAACAACAAGCCAGTGGAGAGATATTAAAAAAATAAAAGCCATGGCTGTATTTTCACACAATTTTAAAGGCCAAAATTGGATGGCATGATTGCACTGACATATTTTTAAACTTTGCTTAGTGTTTTATTGTCTTGTATTCCTCCCTGGTTCCTTTTTTAAGACTCCATCACAAGAACCAGCTTTGAAAATCACATTAAATTACTAATTTTTGTTATCTAAACAATTAATTCTGCTGATAGTGACTATACTGAGGAGATATAATAAGTGGCTGTAACAGTCAAGTCGTAATATTGTCAGTATTGTCTTTTGGGTATTTACACATAGACAGACACCTATACTACATTATGTTGTTATGGTT